AATAAAAATAATAAATTTTATAAAATGCATAAACTGTATCAAATAAAATTACTCAAATAACATTTAAAAAAAAACCCAAAACATTAAACAACATAACAATAAACCAAAAAAGCCCCCAAAAAAACCAAAACAAAACACAAAACTACACAAAACAAAACAAAATAAAAATAAAGCTGGTCTTACTGCATGGATTACTTTCCCCTGGAGAGGGGCTTTGGACAAGGGATGGAGGGACAGGACAAGGGGAATGGCTTGAACCTGCCAGAGGGGAGACTGAGATGAGCTCTGAGGCAGAAGCTCTTCCCTGGGAGGGTGCTGAGGCGCTGGCACAGGGTGCCCAGAGAAGCTGTGGCTGCCCCATCCCTGGCAGTGTTCAAGGCCAGGTTGGACACAGGGGCTTGGGGGAACCTGCTCTAGTGGAAGGGGTCCCTGCCCGGGGCAGGGAGGGGAGCTGGAGGAGCTTTAAGCTCCCTTCAACCCAAACCAGGCTGGGATTCTAGGATTCATCTCATAATCCTAGACACCCATATAATACATGCATGCACATAGATTTCTACTGCTGGGAGACAAATAGGCACTTCTGGGCTGTGATTCATGTGATTTGCTTTAATGACTGGAGTCATAACAGAGTACATTACACACAGAGGTGCCTATTTCTTCCTAGAGGGAGGAAATACCAATTGGTTGAAAGATTTACTTGAGCAACAACATTGTTTATCCCAGCTTTAATTATTTGTATTTTTATCAATATCAATCTGTAACTTTTTGGTGAATTGTGCAAAAAGTCTACTTTTTAATTAGCTTTAAGGTCTGAGAAATCCAGCATTGATGGTTCAATAACTGTTGAAAGAGCCATTATTAACCCAACATGTGATTAAGTTATTTACATTTACACACCATCTGCAAAGTAGCTTTAGGAACAGCAAAGACAAGGCTCAGATTGCCCAGAGGCTTCCAGGGGAATTAGCACCAACACTCACTGTGACATTTGGAAGGACAAAACACCTCCAGTTTAACCTGCAACTTCACTTGCAGAAACCAGGTTTTGAGTGGAAAAGCCTCATTTCAAGTGCCGACCACAAGCCTTAGCATGTACAGTGGAGAGTTATGTGATTGATTATATGATGTCCCGTAGTCCTTTGGGTCTCTCTCATTCTCCTCTGAACCTTAGCAACCTGGAAACCCATGCCCAGGGTAGACCAGGCTTTCTTTGTAGTCATTGAACAGAGTAATGAGATGAATAGGACGAATCAAGGTGCTAAGAGGGGCTGCTCATGCACATCGACCACTGATGGTGAATGAGGTTGGGCTTCATCTCGCCCACCTTCAGCTAGGCAGGAGTTACATGGCTAATCAGTGTCAGATACCTTACAATTGAGAGATACATTAGAGAGAAATCACCTCAATACACCTTCACAGAGCCCTCAGTTCAATGACTCCTACTCAGTAACAGCAACAACGAAATACCCTCCTGGTCACCAGCTTCCTCCACTCACTGCCTTCTCCCAACCACTCTCATGAAGGCAGCCTTCACCTCCCTGTTCCTCAAGCTGTAGACCAAGGGGTTTAAAGTGGGGGTCATGATGGTGTAGAACAACGTGGCTGTTTTGTTCTCATCCAACGCAAAGGTGGAGCTGGGGCGCAGGTACATGAACAAGATTGCCCCATAGAACATGGTGACAACCATCAGGTGGGATGTGCAAGTGGAGAAGGCTTTTCTCCTGCCTTCCTTTGAGTGGATCCTCAGGACAGCAGGAAGGATATAAGCATAGGAGATAAAGATGATGGTCATGGTGCTGACACAGTTTATGCTGACGAGAGCAAGGATGACCACCTCGTAGGTGTGGGTATTGGAGCAGGAGAGAGCTAAGAGTGGGGCAATGTCACAGAAGTAGTGGTTGATAACATTGGAGCGGCAGAAGGAGAAGGTAAAGATGAAAGTGGTGTGGGTCACTGCATGGAAGACACTGACAGCATAGGAACCAGCCACAAGCCACCAGCACATCCATCCACACATGATGGTGGGGTACAGGAGGGGTTTGCAGATAGCCACATACCTGTCATAGGCCATCACAGCCAGCAAGAGGCACTCAGTGACCCCAAAAATGACGAAGAAGCAGAGCTGGGCTGCACACCCCGAAAAGCTGATGGTTTTCTCCCCTGTCAAGATCTGCACTAGCATTTTGGGGACGATGATGGAGGAGTAGCAGATGTCGACAAAAGCCAAGTGGCTGAGGAAACAGTACATGGGGGTGTGAAGGTGAAGATCAGTCCTGATTAATACAATGATCCCAAAGTTCCCCAAAAGGGTCACCATGTATGTGGCCAGGAAAGCCATGAAAAGGGGGACCTGGAGGTCTGGGCGTGTGGTCAGCCCTAAAAGAATGAACTCATGCACGTCGGTGTGATTGACGGGTGTCATCCTCTGTAATGCACCAACCTGCAGAAGATAGGTAAAATGGAAGAGAATGATTTGGGCAGCTCAACAGGACCCTCCGCTTCCTCGATGTCACCAAAGGGAGGCAGAACCCTTTCTACTGGAGGGTCAGTTGGACTCTGGATAGCTCTTGGAATTGATTTGGGCTTTTAGAAGAGACAAGCCCTCCATCTAGTGGCTACAAGAAGATCCTAAAACCAAAGCCTACTTGTCAAGCTTAGCAGCGAGAACACCCACTTCGGTTTAGCTCAGCATTTCATCTCTGCAACTTCCTATTTGTGCCTTCCTGGGGACATTTAACACAGGAGGATGGTCACTAACTGGGCAATTCTTAGAAGCTGGGTTGGAATTGGATGATCTTAAGATCCTTTCCAACTCTAACTATTCTATGGTCAAGGTTTAACCCTTATCTGGCAACTAAGCCCCACACAGTTCAGCAATAACTAAAACACCCTGGAGTTATCAACACCATTTCAGCACCAATCCAAACTGTAGCCCCATAGTAGCTACTATGAAGGTAATTCACCCTATCCCAGCCCAAACCAGCACAGACATTGAATGCATTTTGAGTTTTCCTTAGTAAATGATGGATACATTTTAAAAATAGTTGCTGTTTTCCAAAATAAACCAACATGGAACAAGTTCACTTGAAGAAATCCTTTTCCTCTTGACTTTCATTTCCCTTTGCAAAGCAAAACAGAGCAGAAACATGGGCATTTGTCTTTTAAAGCTGAGATGAACACACAGTTTTCACTATATACAGTCCATAGGAAAGGAAATTCAAGGTGTCACGGCGGTGGAGACATTTGGAGGGTCTATGCAGCTCCTTCAGCAACTGGGATGAGTTTGGCTGTTCCTGCAGATGATGACTGAGACCACATTCATCTTCAAACAGACGCTGAGAGTGGGTTTTAACGCTCTTTCTTTATAAGCTGCACTGAGGGTGATTTGCTGCTGCATCTTCCAAGGGCAGACAAGTCCTCTCTGTAGTTTTTGGTGTTCAAGATGTATTTATACTAATTTCTGTGACCTCAGAGGTGTTCTGCTCCATGGGGAATAGAAGCTTGACAACAAGCAAAATCCACCCAGAGCATCAATCTCTTCATCTCCAGGCTCACTAATGAAGCCCAGGAAAAATTCACTGTAAATATGTGCATTTAAGGAGATGTCTTCCCCCTTCTCCCACACTGAGGAAATGGAGTGGGTGCAAAGTGCATGTCTACATGATTCGCCCCTGAATATTCTCATACCCTTCCCAACTGTCTCTCCTAGTGCCACTTAAACAGGATTTCAGCAATGCAAAGATAATTCCTGCAACCATTTCTGTTGCCACAGTTGCCCCTTGTTAACATCTTCTTGCTCTATAACCCACGACAAATTCTGATCTTTGCCTTTGCTGGCTACAGTAAGACACTAATTGTCCCCACACCAAGTTTTTACCATTTCATTGGGGTGTTTCTTTATTTTTGCTATGAGCAGCAATGAGAAGGGCAAGGCAACTGCAACCACCAAAACACAAATCAATACTACAACCATAGTACTCCTGTAACAAAATCCGTTTCATTGATATCTGTCCACTGGGTCCATGCACCATGACACGTATTATCCGCCACACTTTGATCGTCATGTATAGATTCATGAAACACTTCCCTGTCTGATTTCTCCAAGAGATTTTAGTTTACAGAGCAGGAGGTCTCACTGTATTAATTTGCACCATAGAACCCCAGCCTGAGCTGTGTTGGAAGGGAGCTTAAAGCTCCTCCAGCTCCAACCCCTACCACGGGCAGGGACACCTTCCACTAGAGCAGGTTGCTCCAAGCCCCTGTGTCCAACCTGGCCTTGAACACTGCCAGGGATGGGGCAGCCACAGCTTCTCTGGGCACCCTGTGCCAGCGCCTCAGC